TGACCTTGGGCAAATATCTTAACCTCTCCGTGCTTCCACATGGCAGAAATAGCTGGACCCTGAGACAGTGTTGCCTCACACGGTAAAAGGACTTTGGAGGTGACATTAAGCTAAAGCTCTTGCCACAGGAAAGTGATTACACCACCCGATGTATCACAGGATGGGTCCTTATAAAAAGAAAGAAAATGGGCAAAGGCAGAAGAGGCAGGTGAGGGAAGCAGAGGCTGGTGTGGGGCACTTGGAAACAGCCAGGCTGAGGAGTGCAGGTGCCTCTTACAGACAGAAGCAGTGAGGGACCAGCCTCCCCGAGGAACCAGCCCTGCCGTGATCCTACGCCCCTGAGCTCCAGAATCACGCTATGATTCTTCGTGTTGTTTTAAGCCACCACGTGTGTGGCCGTATGTTACAGGAGCAAAAGGAAATGGATATAGACTTGACTCAGGAACACTACGGGTTTGAGCTGTAAGGTCTACTCATATGCAGTATTTTTTCAATCAATATGTTGGAAAATTTTTTGGAAATCTGTCACAATTTGATAAAGCTCTCAGACTAACCACAAAGCCCAGAAACATCAAAAAATTAAGAAAAGGTATGTTGTGAATGCATGAACTATAGATGCAGATACCAGTCTGTTTATGTGTTAACGGACTGTTTATGTTGTTGGTAAGGATTCCGGTTGACAGTAGGCTAATGCCCTTAAGTTTTGGAAGAGCCAGAAGCTGCACGTGTGACTCATGCCTTTAATTACTAGCACTTTAGAAGGCAGAAGGTGGAGGACTGCTTGGGGCCAGGAGTTCAAGACTAGCCTGGGAATAGCAAGACCTCATCTCTACAAAATGAAAAGGGAAAGGAAAGGGAAAGGGAAAAGAAAGGAGAGGAACGGAAACAAAAGGAAAGGAAAAGGGAAAAGAAAAGGAGAGGAAAAAGAAGAGAAAAGAAAAGAAAAAGGTCATACATGGCTAGTCTTGATTTTCAGCAGTATTGGACTGGCTGGGTCAAAGCCCCTGATCCCTGCACTGACCCAGGGTCAACTGTCCCCAGTTTCCTCATCTGCACAATTACCAACGCAGCATTCCCATTGCAGCGTGGCTCAGGGTTTAATGAGATGAGAATTACAATGGCCTATGAACTCAGCGCTGGGGAGTGAGCTGTGGTTACCTGGCTCGGCACATAGCGGGGTCCCACGATGGGTCTTTGCTGTTATTATCCCCTGCTCTAAGAAATCTCTGTGCTCTGGGCACAACCCTTCCTTTCAGCAGACTGTGCTGTCAAAAGCAGAAATAACTGTCTATTTTGAGAACTCGTGTATCGTTGTTTCCATGGTTACCCTGTCACAATGCCAAGCAGACAAAAGACCTGGATTTCTAGTATCTCCGGGAGTGGTGAGAAGCTGTGGCAGGAACAGAGTGGCCTGTGCGCCTCCCGCTCTGCCCCCACTGGGGTGGGAGGCCCAGGGGAGCCACCTCACTCCAAAGACTCTCGGTTTCCTCAGCTGTCCAACGGCAGAAATGACATTCACCTGTGATGGGGATGTTCTTCATGCAGCAAACAGAAAACCACGGTTTTATTCTGTTAGGAAAATGACTCCATGACCATTTGTCTCCAGGGTGTCCTATCAGCCGTTCCCTGAGTTTTGAGCAGTAAACTGGACAAAGTGGGAGGTAAAGAACTGACACTAATCTCCAAGTCTCTTTAAAGACACTTATTTTAAATAACAATCATGTGTGTTTGGATTAAAAACAACCACCACCACCTGCTAACTGGGGTGACTTGATTCCCTCTGAGAACCCAGGCAGACATGGTCTGGACGGAGCACACACACAGACACTCACTACTTATTTGTGGCAAATTAAAATGAGAAAAAACAGATGCTATAAAGGCACATTCAAAGCCAGGTAAAAAATCCTCCTAGTGGCATTAAAGAGAAAGTTTGTATATAGTATATTGAAGTTGAGAATAAAAAAATCCTAGAAAAATTTAAAACACAAAATTAACTCCAACAGAAATCTGGTATAAACCATTACTTAAAAAAGAAATTAAACTGGTTGTTTTTGTTTTTGTTTTGAGACAGAATCTTACTTTATCACCCTGGGTAGAGTGCTGTGCATCATAGCTCACAGCAACCTCAAATACTTGGGATCAAGCGATTCTCTTGCCTCAGCCTCCCAAGTAGCTGGGACCACGGGTGCCCACCACAACATCCAGCTATTTTTAGAGACAGGATCTCTCTCTAGCTCAGGCTGGTCTTGAACTTGTGCGCTCAGGCGATCTGCTCACCTCGGCCTCCCAGAGTGCTGGAATTAAGGCATTAGCCACAGTACCCAGCCTAAATTGGGTGTTAAAAAAAGTTTCTCGCTAAATAGATTTACACATGAGTTTTATAACACCTCAAGAAGCAGATGTATTGTACTAACTATTCCAGAAAAAGAAAGAAATCTGCCCAGCTGATTTTAGGAGAGTTGAAAATCTCTTTATTTAGTTTTTTTTTTTTTGAGACAGAGTCTCACTGTGTCACCCTTGGTAGAGTGCCATGGTGTTACAGCTCACAGCAACCTCAAACTCTTGGGCTTAAGCAATTCTCTTGCCTCAGCCTCCCAAGTAGCTGGGACTACAGATGCATGCCACAATGCCCAGCTATTTTTTTGTTGCAGTTGTCGTTGTTTAGCAGGCCTGAGCCAAGTTTGAACCCACTAGCCCCAGTGTATGTGGCTGGTGCCCTAACTGCTGAGCTACAGGTGCCAAGCCAAAAGAGTTGAATAATCTTAAAATCAGGCAAAGAGAATACAGGAAAAGAAAATTAAAGGCCAATTTCACCCATGAGCAAGTATGTAAAAAGCTTACTTAAAACTTCAGTGAATCACAGGCAGCTTTAGACCTGTCTGCAGATTTGGGATTGCTGGCCTGGGAAGGGGTCCCAGACCACAGTAGGTGGTCAAAACCCCCTGGTGAGTCACTAGGCAGCCAGTGAACAGGCCCTTAGGAATTTTTCAGCAAGACACCAGACCCCAATGTCACTCAGGCACAATCTAAAGCCCCTGATGTCCTGAAGACCCCATATACTTTCTCCATATCCAGGCCCTGCCAGGAGCCTTCTGGAAGCTCAATGCAATCTTTGGAGAGGTAGAGCCCACCAAGGCCCTAAAGTCGGGCATGGAAAGAAAACTGAGTAGAGTCATTGAAAATAGTCACATTTCTGACACCCTTAAGGTTGTGGGGTTGTGGGCTGATGCACATGTGGCTCCTCCAGCCCCAGGAGTGTGGAATTACCTGGCCATGATCTGTGCCTGGACGGAGACGATGAGCCAGGCATGTGCGGTGGCTCCAGTGAGGGCTGCTCTCAACCCTGGGGAATGGACGACGCCCTGCAGGAGCCCAGCGGGGGCGCGGACTTAACCCTCCAGCCCACCCAGGAATACCGTTCACCACGGGACACACAAAAGTTTATCCTGCGCCAAGTCCCGGCATGCACCAAATACCACCCTTCCCATGCACACGTGTTTTCTGACTCAATGTTTAAATCCATTAATAAAATAAAATACACAGAAAGAACATGAAGAAAATACCCATCATTTTCTCTCAGTTCACCAGCAGAGACAATATCTTGGCATATTTCTTTCCAGAGTTTTTTTCTCTGCTTCCATTTTTTGGCAGTCATTGCCTTAGATCCTTGGATTTACTTTATTTTACTTATATTATATTGTACTATATTGTAATTTCTGAGACTCTGTTGTCTAGACTAGACTATCATGGCGTTAGCGTAGCTCACAGCAACTTCAGATGTCTAGGCTCAAGCGATCCTCCTGCCTCAGCCTTCCAAGAAGCTGGGATCTTTGGCTGATTTTTTTGTAGAGATGGGGGTCTCACTATTGGCCAGGCTGGTTTTGAACTCCTAGCCTCTCCTACCTAAAGTGCTAGGATTACAGCTGTGAGCCACCCTTCCTGGCCTCTAGATGTTAATAAATTCCCTTCAAGGGCCAGCTGGATCACTCACTTGCTGGTTCATTTCCAGACACTGTTGTAGGCACTGGAGATAGACAGAAAGGGGACCCAGGCAACGTCCCTGCCCTCTGGCTGAGGAACACTTCAACCTGTCTGTGCCCCGTCTGACCCTGTGCCTTCAGGGGCCTCTGGGGACCACCATGGCAGTGTGTCACCGGCAGCCACCACCCGAGCAGCCAGCCCTGCCACTATTCAGTTGAGGTGACTTTGGGCCAATCCCTGGAGCCTCAGTTTCCTCTTCCCTACAGCACCCCTTGGAGCACACGAAAAGCTTAGATGAGAGAATGTGGTAAAGTGCTTAGGTGGGGGCCAGGCTCAGCCCAAGTTTTTAATGTGCACTGTTGTGCTGGTGTTATTGTGCTAAAATGCTTCCCTGGGTCTTGTTCAGCCCCAGCCCTCCCCAGACATTCCTGAGGTAGGCTCTAGACTCGCAGTGGTCCTCAACCTTCCTAATGCCGCAGTGTATTTTCACTGTTAAAAAGGGGTCGCGACCCAAAAGTTGAGAACTGCTGCTCTAGAGCAAGGAGGTGATTGATGTGTTACAGACCCTGCCCTCAAGGAGCTCAAGCTGCTGGGAGTGGTCATGGCAGCCTACAGACAGTGCCACAGCATGTGGCTGGAACAGTGAGGCAGGGATGCGTTGGGGGCCGTGGCACACAGGAGGGATCTGACTCAACGGGGAGCTAAGGGTTTCCTGAAGGACGTGACACCTAAGCATGGTGCCTCCTTAGCTTCAGAGTCCCCAACCCTCATCCTAGTGACCTGGCACTTGGAAGCTGGGTAGTTCCTGGCTATATAGGGACTCTAGGGGTCAGCAGGTGGCAAGATCAGGCTACCCTAACAGCCAGGGCTAAAAAAGCATGGTGACCACTGCCCCGGGCAGTCCAAGACACACTGGCCCACACCTGCCACCCCTGCTGCTCCAGTGCAGGAGTGCAGGATGGGGCGTCTCCTCACCCAGCCACCTGTCCCAGGGTGCCAGGGCAGGGTATGGCACTTACGCTTGGAGTGCTTGTCGCACAGGGCAGCTGCCCGCATGTCACAGAGCCGCAGGGAGCCCTTGCTGCTGCTGTAGACAAAGAGGTTGCAGTGGTGCGGGTGGAACTCAGATGCTGTGATCACCTCCGTGAGGTCTTCCATGTTGGCTGGCTTGATGTCCACAATGTCTAGACGCGGTGCAGTCAAGGAAGGGGCCATAAGGGTGGCCCCAATGCTCTGCCTCCCTGGGGCTCCCCAACACCTTTCCCAGGCAAAGCCATCTACCCCCGTGTCAGAGCTGTCTCCCAGCTCCCAGGACCCCCAGACAAACACAGCGACCCAGAGAGTTTGGGCAAAGGTTTTCTGGGCCAGCCCACCTCAGCCCTGATCTGTGCCTTCCCACGACTTGGAATGCTGGGAAGCCTGGGATGTGGCTCCACCATCACTGCTGGCTGGGTGGTGCAGGCAGAAGGGGCTGCTATAGCTGTGACAAGGGACACCTGGAGGCTGAGGATGGGGCAGACAGCATGAAAGACAAGAGTGGTAAGATCTAGTGATGGCTTTTGAATCTGGGATCAAGCTCAGCCTGGAGCCACTACCTTAGACTATTAAGTATGGGAGCTAATAAATTTCCAGTTTTTGTTTAAAGTCAAGAATTTCACTATCTGCAAAGAAAACTTCCCTGTCAGATACACTGGATCAAGGGTCAGCAACTTGTCCAAGGGAACCCAGTAATGGGTGGTAAGGATAAATTCAACTTCACAAACTCCCAGGTTCCAACCTGCCCCTTCTCTGCTGCTGAGCAGCAAATCAGAGCCCCCTGGTGCATGCGAGGCCTGGCAGACCCTGACCTCTCTCCAGCTGTCCAGTTTCACATCCTACTTAACAGTCATCCCACCTAAAAGGCTCTCACCACGGCAGCCTTGGTCTTTGGTCTCTGGTCTCCCCAGCCCTGGGTGGGGCTTTGCACAGCCTGTTTCCTGACTCTTTGTGTGTATGTGAGCCCCAGAGTTGTAGGGCCTGGGGTTTGAATCCCCAGCACTGCTACCTCCTGGCTGTGTGATTCTGAATGAGCTCCCCAGCACTCCAGGGCTCAGCTTTCTCATCTGCAAAATGGATTAACAGTTCTAACTTCATAGATACGTTGTAGAGATTAACAGAGGGAAAGCACTTCATACATGTCCTGACTCACTGTAAAGTGTAATGAATGTCAGTTGCCGCTATTACTATTTTTTATTATCTGGAAATACCGGCTGAAACTGTCCTCCCTCCTCTAGCCCATGCTGCTTCCTCTCTCCATAAGCAAGCAGTGCCTTCTGGCCTGTTAACACAAGAGTTTATGAAATACCAGAAAAGATGGCAGACTCTGTACAATCAGAAGGCACCAGCGGTCTCTGCACTCACACTCAAGTCTTGCTTCCTGGAACCACATCATTAACCAGAAATGGAGTGTCACATAAGCAATACAAAGGGGGGAAACGAGCAAAGTCATCAGTGGCTGGTTGGTTTCTCAGGACACTACAGTTTTTGGTATGAAAAGAAGCAAAGATTTAAATAATGAAAAATGATACTAAATGTTAAGTTTTAAAAATCGGCAGACTCCTGATAATCCACACCCGCCTGGCAACCCATTCAGCCCATCCTTCATGGGCTCACGTGTCGCAGATGACTTTCCATGACACTCCACCTGCTCAGAAACGGCTTTCAATTCCTGGCTGAATGTCACTAAAATGGTATCTGGAGGGAAAGGGCAGCTCTTTATGAAATGTTGTGCACATTAGCACAGTGGCACCTGTTTAATGTTCTACACCAAAGGGTCAGGGCGGACAGGGACTAAATTCTCTCTGCAGAGAGACACAGACAAAAGCCGAGAAGGCTTGGTGAAAACAGAAGTGCCTGGGGATGCAGGTGTCCTGGGAATCCTGCTCGTGTCGCTGTTAGGACCCTTATTCCTGCTGTGTTTCATAGGATCGTAACTCATGGGGTGGGGTGGGGGCAGGACTCACTGAACAAAACAAATGGCTGGCATGTGGGTGGTTCTCTGAACACCGCTCCTCAGGACGCAGGGCAGCCAGAGGGCTTGCTGCTTTTGCCAGTGAATGGACAAGTGGCATAGTCAGCTCCAGGATGAAACTTCGAGAGTGAGCACATGGTTGGCTTTTTGCTCTGCAGTGAGACTACACCAGCGTTTCTCAACCCTTTTTATCTCACAGCACACTTGAACCTATAAACTTGTAGCACAGTTTAACTATGTTGATCAAAAAAATAGAATATACTTACTATGCTCTGAAGTTCTTTTGAAAATAATTTAATTAATCATCTTTAAAAAATTTAGGGGCACACCTAAGATTCTCACTTGAAAATCACTGGTCTATACCATGGCCAACCTGTGGTTGACACAGGTGTGCAGACTGCCTGCTGGGCCCTGTCCTGTGGGGCCCTGAGGAGTTGGCCATGACCCTGACTATCTTCTGCTACGTGGGTATTGTGGGTACAAAGCCTCTGTGTTTGAAGTTATTGTTTTCACATTAGCAAATGTATCCAGAGTCCTTTGTTTGAAACAGCAAGAGAAGGCCGGGACAGTGGCTCACACCTTTCATCCCAGCACTCTGGGAGGCCGAGGCAGGTGGATTGCCTGAGCTCACAAGTTAGAGATCAACCTGAGCCAGAGCAAGACTCTGTCTCTAAAAAATAGCTGGGCAGTGTGGCAGGTGCCTATAGTCCTGGACACTTGGGAGGCTGAAGCAAGAGAATCACGTGAGCCCAACAGTTTGTTTT